GTGTAAGTAAAGAGGAAAGGGGGAATTCATCATGGATTTATTTTTTTATTTTTTAATATTCATGCATATGCCCATCTGTGGCTGATGTCAACACAGGATCTTTCTTAAAATGTAGCTGTCTCTTTTTTCGATGAGTTTTACGGCACTTGCAACACAATAAAGGCATATAAGTGCCGAAAATTAGAGGTGTTAAGAGAAACAAACACTAAAAAAGAAGGAAAGATAAAGACAATAGAAGTTTGATAAGAAAGAAGGAGTAAACAACACCAGAAAACCCGCCAACCACACACTACCTGTCTTTCTCTACGTGATGTATTGTAGCACCCTTTTCAATCCTACCCCATCTATTAATTTCATCCCTTATGCATGAGTAAGTCGTACCCTTCCAAAGATTCTGCTACATGCCGAATCAATCAGCTTTCCAATATACTATAAAAGACAAAACATTTTCAACAAAGCCATTGTCAGCATCTATACCAGGAAAGCCGCTTGAAGGCCGGTTTTTGGGTGTGATGTATCTTGGTTACAACGGCGGAGACAGTGGCTGAATACTCAAAAAGAAGTTCCATTTGAAAATTGGAGCAACAGACTTAACAATGATAATAATAATAATAATAATAATAATGATAGACAGCATTTGTATAGCGCAAGTCCCCGCTCAATAGCAAGCTCTCTGCGCTTCACAATCTAGATTTATACTTATACTTAATAATAGATGACTTCGTCAGAGCCGATGGCGGCTCGCATTATTGCACGTAATCGCAACCTTAGAATTACAAAGAGCTTTCTGTTCAATATCTAGATCTAAATCTGTGAAGTTTGACGTTAAACGTTTTGTGTTTCACATCATGAGAAGCTTTTTTTAATGCAATTCTTTAAATATCTTGATAACGACTCCGAATATTCTTATAATTTTGACAAACCAGATAGAACGTTTGCTCTCTGGCATAATGGTCTTAGGTCTAAGTAATTCAAAATGATCAAAAAAGTCAGATAAAACTTTGTAATTTTGAGGTAGCAAAAGAGTGAGCAAAATAGCGAAATGCCGTACTCTTCAAATCAGTCACTGATGTGCGCCGCTAGCTCAGTTGCATGATACCGTGCTCATGTTGGACTATGGTGCTAACGGCCTTGGTTTGAATCCCAATTGTGTGTTCTTGAATTTGGATTGTTTAAGCAGTCCACGGGGCTCACCGCCCGCTTGGCGAGATTTTAGCGGGATGATTGATAAAATCGGAGGTACGGCCTGTCAAACAACCTTTACAGTATTGATAGACATAACTAGATCTACAAGAACTTATATAAACCACAGACTTCGCGAATTCTCAATCTCTTTACTTTTAGAAATCGACTTCAATAATAAGTATGCTGACTTATAAAGGTTTGACGATGACTTTTATCTCTACCCCCCTCCCCACCGGCTCCATCCCCCCCCCCCTTCCTCTTCAAAGGAGGGACCACCTAGTACTAAGGAGTGCGGCCTCGGATCGGATGACCTTGGCGACATGCCAGGATTTATGTCGCCTTTTTCATTGCTTCTGGGGTTTGGAGACTCGTCTATCTCAGAACACAGTATGATGGATCCCCATCTCTTCAGGTCTCAAAACTGCTCGGAAATGGAGTGGCCTGGCCCGTCGGTAAGTTTAACTATAAACACGAATATGATATTAATTATTATAAGATACACAATCATGTCTATATCACTTTCTTTGAAAAACACATGTATATACATTTATACATTGCATAATATAGGCATATATCTTATAGATAGATAGATAGATAGATAGATAGATAGATAGATAGATAGATAGATAGATAGATAGATAGATAGATAGATAGATAGATAGATAGATAGATA